AAAAAAAAAAAAAAAAAAAAAGCTAAAAGGCTTCTGCACAGCAAAGCAAACGATCAACAAAATGAAAACGCAACATGTGGAATCGGAGAAAATACCTGTAAGCCATATATCCAATAAGAGGCTAATATCCAAAATATATAAGGAACTCATATAACTCAATAGTAAAAAAAAAAAAAACCTAATAACCCAATTAAAAAATGAGCTAAGGATTTGAAGAGATATTTCACCAAAGAAGACACACAAATGGTCAATAAGCACATGAAAAGGTACTCAACATCACTAATCATCACAGAAACGCAAATCAAAACCACAATATCACCTCATACCTGCCAAGACAGCTATTATCAAAAAAACAAAAGACACTAAGTGTGGGTCAGGATGTGGAGAAATTGGAACCCTCCGCGCTGTTGGTGAGAATGCAAAATGATGCAAGCGCTATGGAAAAAAGTATGGAGGTTCCTCAAAAAATTAAAATTAAAACTACCATTCAATCCAGGAATACCACTTCTGGGTGTTTACCCAAAAGCATTAAAATCAGGATTTCAAACGGATATTAGCACTCCTGTGTTCTCTGCAGTACTGTCCACAATAGCTAAGATATGAAAACAAGCTAAATGTCCATCTAGAGATGAACTGATAAAGAAAATGTGGTGCATATATACAATGGAATACTAGTCTTAAAACAGGAAATTCTGCAATATACAATATGGCTAAACCTTGAGGTTCTTATGCTCAGTAAGATAAGTCTGTCATATAAAGAAAAATACCACCTGATTCCACTTATATGAGGTGTCTAAAATAGGCAAATTTACAGAATCAAAAAGTGGAGTGGTGGTTCCAGGGGCTAGCGAGGGAAAGAAATGGGGAGTTCTTGTTTAATGGGTACAGAGTTTCAGTTCTGCAAGATAAAGAGTTCCGGAGATTGGTTGCAAAACAATGCAAACATACTTAACATTACTAAACTGTAAACTCAAAAGTCATTAGGATGGTAAATTTTATGTTACATATATTTTATAACTAAGAATTTTACAAAAAATTTAGCCCTCAGTAACTGGGAAAATGATAGTGTTGTGAATTGACCTAAGAAAATCAGGAGAGAGATGAAGAAAACGGATTTGGTTTAAGACAGTTTGAATCTAGGTTGAGCCAACTGAATGAAAATATTTGGAAGGTAGTAAGCCAACAAGGTTGGTACTCAGGTGCAAAGAGAGTACAGATAGAAATACATGGGTTGCTATCTGTTTGTTGAACTTAACATGAGTAAGTGGTGAATTTTTACCAACTACTTTTCCTTATCTATTGAGATGGTTATATGAATTTCCTCCTGTAATCCGTAATGTTGTATTGATAGATTTTGAATGTAGAAGCATCTTGGCATTCTAAAGATAAAATATATTTTAAAATATACTTCTGAGTTTTTTTGATGCCATTTTATTTAGGATCTTTTTATCTTTATTCGTAAGTGAGCTTAGCCTGTAAATTTTCTGTTTGTATTGTTTCTGTCTGACCTAATGTTAAGGTTATACTAGCTTTATAAAATGAGTTCATTTCCTTTTCTGTTTTCTAGAACTGTTTACATAAGAGTGATTAAAGGCTTGGTAAAAATTTCTTCATAAAATCATGTAGGCCTGGTGCTTTTGAAGGAGAGAATTTTTACTACCAATTTAGCTTTTTGTTTTTGTTGTTGTTGAGACAGAGTCTGGCTCTGTTGCCCTGGCTAGAGTGCAGTGGCATCATCATAGCTCACTACAACCTCCAATTCCTGGGCTCAAGTGATCCTCCTCCCTCAGTCTCCTGAGTAGCTGGGACTACAGGAAGGAGCCACCATGCCTGGCTAATTTTTCTGTTTTTTATAGAGATAGGGTCTTGCTCTTGCTCAGGCTGGTCTCGAACTCCTGACCTCAAGCCATCTTCCCATCTCTGCCTTCTAGAGTGCTAGGATTATAGGCATGAGCCACTGCGCCCAGCACCCAATTTAGTTTCTTTAGTGGTTATCAGTCTAATCAGATTTTCTATGTCTTCTCAAATGAATATTGGTATTTTCTACTTTGCAGTTTTGCAGAAAATTATTTAATTCATCCACATTTTCAAATGTATTAACATACAAGTTGCACTTAACATTCTTACGGTAGTAAAAATTTTTATTGTATCTGTACGTAAGCCCCCTTTTTAATTCCTAATATTATCTATGTATGTCCTTTATATTTTTTTCTTGAACAGTCTTTTTCTTTTTTTCATTGAGGTAAATTTATGTACAATAAAGTGCACAAACTTAAGTGTACAGCTTGATAAACATTTACATATACATACACCTGTTTAACTTCCAACAAAATCAAGATATAGAACATTTCCAGTACCCCTAGGAGGCTCCTTTGCCGCCCTCCCAGTCATAATCCCCAGTTACCTCTATCACTGTAAGTCAGTTTTGCCTGTTTTTGAACTTCATGTAAATGTAATACTATAGTAGGTACTATTTTTTCTTTTAATCTGTGAGATTCCTTTCTGTTGTTGCATGTATCAGTAGTGCATTTGTTTTGTGGGGTTTTTTTTGAAGATTAAATATTTTATTATTTGATTTGATCATTCAATTTCATCTGTCTAGAGTGGGCTTTGAGATCCAGTGACTGTCCTTTGCTAAGAATTCCAGAATGCCATTTTGTTTTCACAATTCTGAAAAAGAGTTTCAGGAACAACACTAAGGCTGTTTCCCTAAACAAAAACAAAAAAGTACAAAAGTTAAAAAAAAAAAAGTGTGTCACAAGAGGGATAATGAGGTTGTGTGATCTGCAAAAGAAACTACCTACAGCTGGAGATAAATGGCAAAGTCTTCCAGCCAACTAGGTTCCCAACAGCATTTTAATTTTGTTAATTATGTCTGGAGGTTGCTTTGGTGCTTTTCTGACAAGCAAACTTCATGGCTGTGGGCCTACCCATTTTAAGAAGAAGAATTAAATTCTCTGTGAAATTATCTTCATCCCTTTTGCTAAGGGCTTTAGGGTCTTCCAGTCCTGTCTGTGGGGAGTTAGCTACGCTCCCAGCAAAAAATTGGGTCCCTTAGGTAGGGGTCGTTGCAAAGGATGAGAAAATAATAGAAATAAAAGAATACACAGAGACGAAGGTATAGTTTTATAGATTTATATAGATAAAAGACAAAAGGGAGGGTACTCAAGGGACCTTGTGATTTCTCCGTTAATCGCAAAGGCCAAGAGTGAAGTTTTACATGGGTATTTATAGGTACAGTGATCGGTTGCCAGGGGTAACAGATTTACACAATAACAGATAGTTTGTCTTAGGTTAAAAGTATTTCAGAAGGCTTCTTTAGATCCCTTAACTAACTCTATCTGCATAAACACATGGTTACAAAGTCTTTCAAAGACAAACTTCTAAGTTCTAAGGTAAATTTATCACTTAACAGAAGGGTTAAACAGAGATATAATGGCTCCATATTTTTTTTTATCAAGTTATTGTGTATTGAGACAGATGGTCAGGAGTTTAAGCAGGAACTGTCCCTTGGGCTAATTGCTTTTAGCCACAGGTGTCTGTCTGTCCGGCGGGCATTCTTTGATCAGCCGTTATCCTGTGTCTCCTAGCAGACCTGCTTTGCCTTTCAAAGCAAGTCAGAACCACAGGCCTGAGAATCTCAGCACCATCTTGGGAAGCAGCCGCCACTGATCTTTGAGATGCCCTCCTGAGGTGGAGCAGCTTTTGATATGTAAACTAACACGTTCACATATTCCTTCAGGGCAAAGCCCTGCAAAACTCCTGGGACCATTTCTCTCCCTAATATAGTTATATTAATTTATGGAGCGACATCTGTCCAGTTGCTCAATTTCTTCCCTGGTTCCTGCACCCCATTTTCAAAAATAGAAAACAGGTCCCTGGTTACCCTGAGATGACGAATGCAGGAGAAGGAATCACAAAGGGGAAATAGGAAACTTTTGGGGAAGATGGATATATTCACTTATCTTGACTGAAGTGATGATTTCATGGGTATATAGATATGGCAAAACTTATCAAACTGTACATATCAAAAAGGTAAAGTTTTTGTATATCACTTCCACCTTACAAAAGCTGTTAAAATATGGAATAAATATTTATATAATATACATAGGACATAAAAAAATGACAAACAGAACACTCCCTGTATCCAACACCCAGTTTAAAAAGTAAATGTTACCATTATTTTTTTAAACCTCTGTGTTCCCTAACACTTCTAAACCTCAGGCTTTCTTGTTAAAAGCAAATGGATGCTTAAAACTATTTTCTGAATCCTTTAGGCTTCCAAATGTGAATATTCTGGGGACTATTTTTATGTAAAATTGCTGAGTAATATACTAATCTGGCACAATTTGAAGATTGAGACCCGCCCTTTAAAAGCTGGGTGTCCCAAAACAATGACTTAGAAATACTCCTGCTGTTGAGTTATGACTATATGAGAGCCTCCGCCCAGAACGTAGAAGTGGGAATTCTTGTTGACTGTGGCCAGGCAGCCATGCTCCTTCACTTCCTTTTTAGAAAACAGGGCTTGCGAGCTTGGGAGCAGGAAGGGGGCAGGGCTGGAGGAGGAGAGGGGTGTGTTGTCATAAAGGGGCCCGGACAGCAGTCTTCTGGTGTGGTTTAACCAGGCTCCACCCACAGATTTTATTTTCTTTCTGTAATAGAAGTTGCTGGACGACCCTGGTAAGGTGTAAGTACACTGTGCTTATAAAACTCCAGGAGGAAACTAGCAGTAGTCTTCATACCCAGAGAAAGGAAAGAAGGAATAAAGGATTGTAATCAACTTTACTTCTAAGGAAAAACTGGGAAACTTCTCATTTCACTTCATGAAAACTAAGCTGAGTCAACTTCTGCCAAGTAACTATTAATTGGGCAAAATGGGCATCTTGCCCAAGATTTGACTTCAGCTACGTTTTCCCAGCACAGCCAGTTCTTCCTTCCTCTGCAGCTGATTGGCTCCGGAGTGTGGGAGTGTGGCCAGAAGCCTGTGTGCTGCAATTAAAGGAGTCAGGTCTCTAACTGTTGTTCTGTTTTTTTCTCTCTTCTGAGCAATGGCACTTACCATCTTGATCCTCCGACTGGCCGTCTGCATCCTGGCATCTCCTGTGTTCTTGCTGAACTTTCTGGGCTTGTGGAACTGGATATGCAAAAAATGGTTCCCCTACTTCTTGCGGAGGTTCACTGTGATGTACAACGAACAGATGGCCAGCAAGAAGAGGGAGCTCTTCAGCAACCTGCAGGAGTTTGCGGGCCCCTCTGGGAAGCTCTCACTGCTGGAGGTGGGCTGTGGCACCGGGGCCAACTTCAAGTTCTACCCACCTGGGTGCAGAGTGACCTGTATTGACCCCAACCCCAACTTTGAGAAGTTTTTGATCAACAGCGTTGCCGAGAACCGACACCTGCAGTTTGAGCGCTTTGTGGTGGCTGCCGGGGAGAACATGCACCAGGTGGCTGATGGCTCTATGGACGTGGTGGTCTGTACCCTGGTTCTGTGCTCTGTGAAGAACCAGGAGCAGATTCTCCAAGAGGTGTGCAGAGTGCTGAGGCCGGTGAGTGAAGGGGTGTGATAAGGGCTGATTAGACACAGCCATTATCACCAAGGGCAGTCCTATCAATTTCAGGGGGAATCAAACATTCCAACATAAAAAGTAAACTACTGGAGAAGACACTGTTGAATTAAAAAAAAAAAAAATCTTAGAGAAACTATAAAGGGAAAGATTGATAAATCTGAATATATAAAATTATAAAACTGCTGTAGAGGGAAAAGTCCTATAAAAAAAGTTAAAGTACAAAAACAAACTTAGAAAAAATATTTGCCAGGGATGATAAAGAATTAACTTCCCTTATGTTAGAAGACATTACAAATCTGTGAGATCAATAGTATTTTTTAAATCAATAAGAAAAACAAAAGAGAAAAATGAAGAGCAGAAACATGAATATAAATTAAAATAGCCAACTATATGATAAAAATGCTCAAACTTAAAATTACAGAACTAATTAAAGATAATAGTAATTTAACTATTATGCTGTCAGAGACTTTTAAAAGATGGGTGGCCCAAAACAATGACTTAAAAATAATCCTGCTGGTAAGTTATGAGCATGTGAGGGCCTCGGCCCAGAATTCTTGTTGACTGTGGCTAGGTAGGCTTGTTCTTTCACTTCCTTTTTTAAAAACAGGGCTTGGTAGCTTGGGAGCAGGAAGGAGGCAGGGGTCGATGAAGAGAGCAATGTGTTATGATAAAGGGGCCTCGGCAGTGGTCTTCTGGTGAGGTTTAACCAGGCTCGGCTCACAGACTGTTTTCTTTCTAGAAGTAGCTGAAAGAGCCCAGTGGGGTGTAAGTACACTGCTTTTAAAACTCCAGCAGGGGCCGGGCGCGGTGGCTCACGCCTATAATCCTAGCACTCTGGGAGGCCGAGGCAGGTGGATTGTTTGAGCTCAGGAGTTCCAAACCAGCCTGAGTAAGAGCGAGACCCCGTCTCTACTAAAAATAGAAAGAAATCGGACAACTAAAAATATATAGAAAAAATTAGCCGGGCATGGTGGCGTGTGCCTGTAGTCCCAGCTACTCGGAAGGCTGAGGCAGTAGGATCGCTTGAGCCTAGGAGTTTGAGGTTGCTGTGAGCCAGGCTGACGCCACAGCACTCACTCTAGCCCGGGCAACAGAGTGAGACTCTGTCTCAAAAAAAAACAAAACAAAACAAAAAAAAAACTCCAGCAGGAAACTAGCAGTAGTCTTCAAACCCCAAGAGAAGGGGAAGAAAGAATAGATTTGCAATAAAGGATTGTAATCAACTTTTCTTCAAAGAAAACCTGGGAACCTTCTTGTTTTGTTTCATGAAAACTAAACTGAGTTAACTGCTTAGTTTTCATGAAGGTCAGTATGGTGTCCGGGTAGGTTTTGGGGACTGGACACCCCCACACACACATTGGAAGATAATTTGATAATATTAAAATTTAAAGTGCACATAATCTTATCCACTGGGAATTTATCCTACAGCCATACACAGAGGTACAAAAACTTATTAAAACCAAAGGGATTGTCGGGTCCTTTTTCCCCTACCTCCCTCAAAGGTACATAGGTAGAAAACTGCTGAATCCCCCCAATAATGTGTAATAACATCTACTGTGCCTATAGTTGACCTATATTTATAGGACTGTTCTCAGTGAAGGCAGCAGTTGCTAATTCCTGCATTTCAGTAATTAACACTTAGCATCCATAGTAATGACAAAATGTTACCATGAATTCAGTAATGCTTTTAGATGAATCAGTATTTTCATTAATCTCATCATGTACCTAATTGTGAAAATGGTACAGAAGTATAAAACATAGTTATTCAGTTTCCAGAAAGTGCTTGGTGTGGATTCACTCTCCCGCTGGAACTCTGTGGTTCTCCCACAGGTTTGGAAGGTAGTGCCTAAGAACAATTTTCAGATCAATTAAAAGGTTTAAAACGAAATACAAGAAGTACAGTTTTTAAAAGATGTCATTAAAAGGCAAACAACAAACGGAGAAAAACATATGCAGTATACAGTCTCATAATAAAAAACCATTACTAATCAATAAGAAAAAAACCCAGTACCCTGTCAGAAAACTGATGAAGGTTATCAACAGACAAGATAGAAAAGTCAGAAAAGAAGAGATCCAGGACAGGTACAGTGGCTCACGCCTGTAATCCTAGCATTCTGGGAGGCCGAGGCAGGAAGATCAGCTGAGGTCAGGGGTTCGAGACCAGCCTGAGCAAGAGCAAGACCCCTGTCTCTACTAAAAATAGGAAAAATTAGCCAGGTGTGGTGGCACATGCCTGTAGTCCCAGCTACTCAGGAGGGTGAGGCAGGAGGTTTGTTTGAGCCCAGGAGTTTGAGGTTGCTGTGAGCTAGGCTGATGCTACGGCACTCTAGCCCGGGCAACAGAGTGAGACTCTGTCTCAAAAAAAAAAAAAAAAAAGAGATCCAAATAACCAATAAGCTTTAATAAAATATTTTAAATCTATTATGAATATTAAAGATATGCATATTTTTGAAGATGAAATACAATCTTGCCCATCAAATTAGCAACGACAGAAAAAATATAAACGCTGTTGATGAGGGTTTATTGGCAACGGGCACTTACAGCCATTACGTAAGTTTGACACAACTTTTCCAAAAGGCAATTTGACAACTCATATCAAGAGCTTTAAAAAGGCACAGAGCATTGACTCAGCAATTCTACTTCTCAGTAAGTTACTTATTTGAAAGTAGAGATAGTCACTAAGATTTAGGGATAAGGATATTCACTGTAACACTATTTATTATAGTCATGAAAAATTGAAAAGAACCTAAAAGAGGAGAGTTAAATAAGAGATGGTACCTTCAGTGGTGTGAAATACTGGGTAAAGAGTTTTTAAATCATGTTTTAGAATAATATTCAAATAAAATAAACCAGGTTACAAAACAGAATGTATACTATAATCCTAGTTTTACAGAAAAAAATACAAATTCACATACACAAAAAACCTTAACAGTAGTTATCCTTCGGTAATGGGATGGTGGTTGATTGTTTTTCTTTTTAAACTTTCTTGTATTTTCTATAATAAAATAAACATATTCCTGAGGCATTATTGCCAGCCTCTGGAGCTAGACTGCTAGGCTCAAAGCCTGGTTGTGACATTTACAAGCTGTGTGATCCTGGGCAAGTTACTTATTTTGTGACTCAGATACCTCACATGTAAAAACAGGGAGGATAACAGCAATACAGGCTTAGTACTTCTTACCCAAAATGCTTGGAACCAGAAGAGTTTCGGATTTCAGATTTTTCTGGATTGTGCAATATACACCGGTTGAGCACCCTGAATCTAAAAATCCACAACCCTGAAATGCTCCAGTGAGCATTTCCTTTGAGCACCATGTTGGCACTCATGAAGTCTGCAACTTTGGAGCATTTTGGGTTTTGAGAGTAGGGATGCTCAGTCTGTACTTAGCAAGTAACACTGTGGCAAGGACTAAGTGAGTTAACATGTGATTAGCATTAAGGACATTACTTGACATACAGCAAATGCTTTAAGTTTTAGCTATTATTATGCATTACTTTTATGATCAGAAAATAGGTGCTAATTGCTTCAGATTGGCAGCTCTGTATAAAATTTGATAGGAGATGAGACTATTGACCAAAATGGTGTCTTAGTGAATTTTAATTTATCTACATCTTCTCATGAAGTTGGCCTCTGGGCCACTGAAATCTGAAGCTTCAATTATCTTATAAATCAGTTTTAGTTTCCCAAAACTAAAATCCTTTGTTGTTCTTTCTCAGGGAGGGGCTTTTTATTTCATGGAGCATGTGGCAGCTGAGCCTTCCACCTGGAATTCCTTCTGGCAACAGGTCCTGGATCCTGTCTGGTTCCTTGTGTTTGATGGCTGCAACCTGACCAGAGAGAGCTGGAAGACCCTGGAGCGGGCCAGCTTCTCTAAGCTGAAGCTACAGCACATCCAGGCCCCACTCTCCTGGGAGTTAGTGCGACCTCACATCTATGGGTATGCTGTGAAGTAGCGTGAGCTGGCTGTGGAGAGCTCAATGGCTCAGATAACTAAGCCTTCAGTTTTACATGTATAGTACTAACTGGGAGAAGGAAAACCCTTGTTTTTAGATAAAGTTGAATTTCACCCTGAAAAGTTTCTGTTATATTCTATTTAGTCATTTTCTCATCTCCCAAATAATTAGAAACAAAACGATAGCTTTGAACACCCCCTTCAAAGGAACAGTGGCTTTCATAGTTGAAGTCCACCATTATCCCCAAACTTACTTTATTCATTGACTTCAAAAGTTTTCCAATTTTCTTTAAATGGTCACCCAACAGATTTTAATTTCACCTCCCCTTTGAGAGCTTGGCACTAAGAAGCTGTTAAATCACTCAAAAGCAGACTTTGGGCCGGCGCAATGGCTTGTGCCTATAATCCCAGCACTTTGGGAGGCCGAGTGGGGAGGATCGCTTGAGCCCAGGAGTTGGAGACCAGCCTGAGCAAGAGCAGACCCCATCTCTACAAAAAACAGAAAAATTAGCAGGGCATGGTGGGACGTCCCTGTAGTCCCATCTACTTGGGAAGCTGAGGCAGGAGGATAGCTCCAGCCCAGGAATTTGAGGTTGCAGTGAGCTATGATGACACCACTGCACTCTAGCCCAGGAGACAGAGCAAGATCCTGTCTCAAAAAAAAAAAAAAAACTTTTTTAAAAAAGACTTTCAAAAGGGAGCAGTAGAAAGATCTTAATAATTCACACACTGAATAAAGAACTACTGATTGAAAATCCAAATCCAAAGAGCATAGATTTTTCTGGGAAAAAAAAATCTGAACCTATTTGCTACTGTTAGTTTCACTGGCATGACTTTCAGAATTAATGCACCAGGCTGCCACATCTAGTTCTGCCCCGTTTTATGTCTTTTATTTCAGTATTCCACCAAAGCTTATTTTCTGCATTCCAGTCCTCAGTTCTGAAGATAGATTGTACTTGACAGTTTAAAACTTAATGCAGTTTAGATTCTTGGGTTCAGTATCCTTATTATCTAGCACATTCTTTGCTGAACATAGTAGACTGCAAGCCAGGAAAGGGTCCACTGTGATTAGGAAAACCTTGTATAAGTAGGTGTATCACGTAAGAGCCCCTAAAAATCAAGCAATCTGTGCGTCTGTAAAGAAGCAGACGTCTCTTTTGGATTATTCTGATCAAATTCCACTCCTGTTCCAAGATGATTTCTTTGTTCTTTGCAACTCTGGAAACTGAAAATCACGAGTGCCTTTGAAAACAAGGTTTAGGGTATTCTGTCAGTGGGTTTAAGACTAGGATTTTCAGCAATAGTTTGCAAATGTATATTTTCTCAGATGATTTTGCAAAAATACTATCTTAAATGTCAAATGAACCAATAAATTCACATTCATGTTAGGAATGGAAATAAAATAAATGGTTTATATCTTTACTGGCTTGGTTTCCTTTTTTGTAATGTCTCTGGGAGGCTTTTCCTTCAGTGTGGAAAATTTAGCTATTTGGACATACAGCTTTTTCTTTCTACAGCCTGGTAACTATAAACACAGCTAGCAGATTTAAGACAAAGCAATCTTGGAAGGATCAGAATGGGTTTTGAAAAGTTCAAGTCCAAACACTCCATTTGTGAAATCCACATAGCAGAAAGAGGGGAAGTTTACTATTCTAACTATCTCTTGAACATGAAAATTATTGATGCAGTGAGGCTGGATGCTCATCTAAGGCCTCCTGAGCTCTGGAACATGAATCTCCTTCCTCTGAACTCTTCGGAAAGCAGGAAATGCCTTTATCTGCCCACCTCCCTATTGGTCAGGTCAGCCTAATGATTGAGAAATGTGAAAAGCCACAGGTAGACATGGTGAAATATCACCATCACGTCAGAAGACCACACCGAAGTACAAAGTACTGAACACATTCTTATCAATTCCCTCTTGTCTAAGTGGAATGGCAAACATTATCCTCACTTCCTATACAGAAAACTGAGGTGCAGAGAAATAAATAAATGATTTTTTAATTTTATTTTTTAGGGGACCTTGTCTCACTCTGTTACCTAGGCTGGTTTAAAGTGGAATGATCAAATACCTCTGTAGCCTCAAGCTCTGTTAGGCAGGGACCAAATCTGCAAGTGGCAGATACAGGCTAGGAAGGTGGTTAGTAGGGGTGGAGAAAGCCGGGGGCAGGGCGGGAGCACCAGTTAGGGGAAAGGACAGCAGGAAAACGCAGAACACCTGACAATCACGTATATCAATCATCTGGTAACATCCCACACCTCCGTATAAGTCCTCCCCGAGACCAGGCCAACGAAAGGAAACCACCTAGGAGTCCTTAATATCTTTCTCCACTTGTGGAGACTGACCCATTCCTCTCTCAAATGTACTCTCACTTTGTACAGCTCTCTTCTTTTCTGCAACAAAAGCTGTTTGTGTGGAATTGCTTCCTGTCTGTGATCACTCCGTCACACGGCCCTGCTTGTGAATTTTCCAAGCAAGGAGCCAAAGAACCAGGACAACAGTCCACCATGAGGCCGGACGTGACAGGCTCAAGTGATCCTCCTGTCTCAGCCTCCTGATAGCTAGGACTACAGGTGTGGGCCACACCTGGCTAATTTTTTAATTTTTTGTAGAGACAGGGTCTTGCTATGTTGCCCAGGCCAATCTCCAACTCATGGCCTCAAGCCATCCTCCCGTCTCAGCCTCCCAAAGTACTGGGAGTATAAGCACAAGCCACAGCGCCTGATCAATAAATGAAGTTTATTAGAATCATTCCACAATTTCCTGAGCAAGTCTTAGAAGCCCTGACTCCCAAAAGCACAAAATCTGCTTTGACAATCCATGCTGCCATATTACCTCCTTACTGCTTTCCTCCTTGGGCTCAGAGAACACACATTTACAATCATTCTAAGAGCCAGAGGAAAGGACTTCAGTCTGTGCAAAACGGAAACACACAAAAAAGGCAAAATATGTCCTACGTCTTTTAGGTCCTGTACTCATTAGGAATCCTTTGACTGCAAGTGACAGAACTCCCAATCAGGCTTAAGCAGAAAAAGGACATTACTGACTCAAATTAGTGAAAAGCATAGGGGCAGAAAGCCTCAGGCACAGCGTGAGCAGGGCTCAGACAGTGTTATCAGAAGCCAGACAAATTCTAGGCTAGGGTCATGTCTGCCCTCCCTCTGCCTGCTCCAATTAGGTAGCGAGCTGTTGGAAAGAGTTCCAACCTTCGCACTTCCAGGGCCCAAGGCCAGTTAGAAAGAGCAAGCCACTTACCCAAAAACTTCAACCAAAGTCCTGGATTGAGTCTCAACTGGCTCTGACTGACAATACTGGGTCAGGAGCCCACCCCTGAACCAATCGTTATGGTTAGATGAGAGGGACGGATTCTGCTGATTGGCTCAAGTATAGGGCACAGAGCTTCACCCCTGGGACTGAGCCCACCCAAACCTTGTCCCATGTGGCCTGCGACAGGAGAGTTGTATATCCTCCAAATGAAAACAGGGCCTGTGACTGGGAAAAGAGTTTAGAAGGAATGCTGGGAAGGCACACAACGAATGCCCATTACAAGCCCATCGCTGGACTCTGATCAGCCCCTCTGCTTTTCTAGGGGAAATAACACAGTACAATGCTTTAAACACCGACTTTTCAATGCCGTAACTGCATGCAAGAAGGAAAATAAAAAACAAAATAAAACATGGGCTTTGACATCAAAGTTGACTCTGTGACCTTGGGCAAGTTACTTCTATTGTGTCAGTTTCCTCATCTGTAAATGAGGATAATATCTACTTAAAAGGTTATAGTGAGGAGTAAATGAAGTGATGCACTTGGCACTTAATAAATGTTGATTTCATTCAACAAACATTTATTGAGTGCCTACTGGGTGCTCTGGTCTTGGTGCTTGGCCCTGAATAAGCTAGACACGTCCCTGCCCTCATGGAGCGCACAATTGTGACCAATGTTGTCTCTAAGGAGGAAGCGCAGGGTGCCAGGATAATGTGATCTGTCCTACCCAGAGGGAGGAGAGTGGAGTCTTCTTTGAGGAAGTGACATCTGAGCTGAATTCCAAAGGATGAATAAAGAATATTTTAGCACAACAGTTTGTGCCACAGCCAAGTGAAAGAAGGAAACACGGTATGTTCAAGGAGTTGAAAGAAGGCAGGCAGGGCCAGGCACCGGAGCCTGAAGGGCAGATTCTGAGATGGCTACTATTTCATCGACTTCTTCCCAAACCTTCCTAAGACCCTGTCACAATGGGCCCGACACTTATTTTAATGGTTAACAAAAAAAGACACGTTGAAATGTCTTATATTTATACTCTAAAACATTTTGTTCCTAAGTGTTCTAATGTTTGAATTGTTTCTTCCGACTCCCTACATATTTCATACTTGAATAGAAAGTGAAGCAAACATTGCATAAGATTTCCTTGTGTACTCTTGACCCTAACACAAGCCTTTCCCTTTGGTGTCGCCCTGGAAAACACAGAACTTAACATAACTGAAATTCATGTTTGTCTGTTAAAGCAACTGAGAGTGTAATGAATCCTAGCAAACCAATGTCAACAAAAACAAAAAAGCAAACTGTTCAGTTTGTTTCGAGTATGTCAATATTTAAACCCAAAGCTCAGGCTACACTGAAGAATCACAAGAATTCCCTGTTGAACTGTGGAACCACTGTTTAGCCCTAGTACCAGAGATCGGGGCAGAGGTCATGTTAACAGAGAGCAAAGGAAATAACAGACTGGCCAATGTGCAAGATAGGATTTTGTTTCTAAAGGAAACTGTCTGGGAACCTGTAAAGAACTACATGAAACATACATACTAACTAGGAAAATCATCATTGAGAATTTACCATTCTTAAAAATGAAAACCACAATAATATTAATAGTTCATCCTTCTCAATCTTTAAGATGTATCTGACACCGACATCAACCTTCTCCTTGGAGTGATTCTTTTATTCCACGACTCTAATAGCTAAATTTCCATTTATTAAATTCCTTTTTTCTGCCAGGAACTAACTTTTAAAACAATTATTTCATATGGTACTCATAACTTTCTACAAGGCAGGGATAATTATCTCCATCTGACAAATGAGAAAACAGATTTGTG